CTATGGGGCACAGCTCAGCACCACCCAATGACGTCACTCTGCCCAATGACGTCAGCAGCCAATGACGTCAGCCCCACCCGATGACGTCACACGGCCCGATGACGTCACCGCCCAATGACAGCCGCCCCGCCCGATGACGTCAGCAGCATCCAACGGCATCAGCCCCGCCCTATGGCGTCAGCAGCCAATGACGTCACCCCCTCCCAATGACGTCAGCCCCTCCCGATGACGTCAGCCCCTCCCAATGACGTCACCACCCAATGACGTCAGCCCCGCCCCGATGACGTCAGCAGCAGCCAATGGCATCAGCCCCACCCGATGACGTCAGCAGCCATTGATGGCCGCCCCCGCCCGATGACGTCACCCCACCCGATGACGTCAGCACCACCCGATGACGTCAGCAGCAGCCAATGGCAGCAGCCCCGCCCAATGACGTCATCCCGCCCAATGACGTCAGCGCCGCCCGATGCCGTCACCGCCCAATGACGTCACCACCCGATGACGTCAGCAGCAGCCAATGACGTCACCCCGCGCCATGACGTCACAGCGGCACTTCCGTTTATTACAAGCGATCGTTTGGCCCCAAATCCGCCCCTCCCCCCCACACCTCCGCCCCACAGCGCCGCCGCAGCCATTCAGTGGGGCAGGACACCACTTGTGGGGCAGAGACTCACTTATGGGGCAGATCCCACTTATGGGGCAGAGACTCACTTGTGGGTCACTGTCACACTTATGGGTCACTGTCACACTTATGGGTCGCAGCTCCACTTGTGGGTCAGATCCCAGTTATGGGGCAGGACCCCAGTTATGGGGCAGAGCTCCACTTATGGGGCAGAGCTCCACTTATGGGTCAGAGCCTCACTTATGGGTCAGAGCCTCACTTATGGGTCAGATCCCACTTATGGGGCAGAGCCTCACTTATGGGGCAGATCCCACTTATGGGTCAGAGCCTCACTTATGGGGCAGGACCCCACTTATGGGGGGGAGCCTCACTTATGGGGCAGTTCCCACTTATGGGGCAGTTCCCACTTCTGGGGCAGAGCCTCACTTATGGGGCAGAGACTCACTTATGGGGCAGATCCCACTTGTGGGGCAGAGCCTCACTTGTGGGTCACCGTCACACTTATGGGTCGCAGCCCCACTTGTGGGTCACATCCCAGTTATGGGGCAGAGCCCCAGTTATGGGGCAGAGCTCCACTTATGGGGCAGAGCCTCACTTATGGGTCATGGTCCCACTTATGGGTCGCAGCCCCACTTGTGGGTCAGATCCCACTTATGGGGCAGAGCCTCACTTATGGGCCAGGCCCCACTTATGGGGCAGAGCCTCACTTATGGGGCAGAGCCTCACTTATGGGTCACTGTCACACTTATGGGTCACAGCCCCACTTGTGGGTCACATCCCAGTTATGGGGCAGGACCCCACTTATGGGGCAGAGCTCCACTTATGGGGCAGAGCCTCACTTATGGGTCATGGTCCCACTTATGGGTCGCAGCCCCACTTGTGGGTCAGATCCCACTTATGGGGCAGAGCCTCACTTATGGGCCAGGCCCTACTTATGGGGCAGAGCATCACTTATGGGTCACTGTCACACTTATGGGTCGCAGCTCCACTTGTGGGTCAGATCCCAGTTATGGGGCAGATCCCACTTATGGGGCAGAGCCTCACTTATGGGGCAGAGCCTCACTTATGGGTCATGGTCCCACTTATGGGTCGCGGCCCCACTTGTGGGTCAGATCCCACTTATGGGGCAGATCCCACTTATGGGGCAGAGCCTCACTTGTGGGTCACTGTCACACTTATGGGTCGCAGCTCCACTTGTGGGTCAGATCCGTTATGGGGCAGAGCCCCACTTATGGGTCAGGCCCCACTTATGGGGCAGAGCCTCACTTATGGGGCAGAGCCCCACTTATGGGTCACAGCCCCACTTGTGGGTCAGATCCCAGTTATGGGTCACAGCTTCACTTGTGGGGCAGAGCTCCACTTATGGGTCAGAGCCCCACTTATGGGTCAGAGCCTCACTTATGGGTCAGAGCCCCACTTATGGGGCAGATCCCACTTATGGGTCAAAGCCCCACTTGTGGGTCAGATCCCAGTTATGGGGCAGGACCCCAGTTATGGGGCAGAGCTCCACTTATGTGGCAGAGCCCCACTTATGGGTCACAGCCCCACTTGTGGGTCAGATCCTAGTTATGGGGCAGAGCCCCACTTATAGGGCAGGACCCCACTTGTGGGGCAGAGCCTCACTTATGGGTCACGGTCCCACTTATGGGTCGCAGCCCCACTTGTGGGTCAGATCCCAGTTATGGGGCAGAGCCTCACTTGTGGGGCAGAGCTCCACTTATGGGTCTGAGCCCCACTTGTGGGTCAGATCCCAGTTATGGGGCAGGACCCCACTTATGGGGCAGAGCATCACTTATGGGCCTGGCCCCACTTATGGGTCAGAGCCCCACTTATGGGGCAGGGCCCCATTTATGGGTCGCAGCTCCACTTATGGGTCGCTGTCCCACTTATGGGTCCCAGTCCCACTTATGGGGCAGAGCTCCACTTATGGGTCACAGCCCCACTTATGGGTCGCAGCCCCACTTATGGGTCAGTCCGTGGGTCCATCCATGTTCTCCCGTGGGCCCACATCCACTTGTGGGGCAGCGCTATGGGGCAGGGGCCCACCTGTGGGTCGCAAGCCCACTTATGGGTCAGAGGTTCAGGGCTTCACTTATGGGTCACAGCTTCACTTGTGGGTCGCAGCTCCACTT